GACTAGAAAGAAATATAGCTAAATTATTAATACTAATTACTCTATTTTCCAGAATTTTCAATAAAAAAACTTTTCCATTTAAATCAAGTCAAAATTTGGGATACATCTGAAAAATACCTCTCACTGAGTTAATTTCATGTCAAACTTTAATGCTGAATACATATTCTGGTCTCTTATTTAATCTAGTTTTTATATTCTACTTCCCTTGTTCTCCAACTACTGAAACAATTTCACCAGAACACCTCCCCATGGTAAATACCTCCCACCCAAATGGAAGTCATTAATAAAGTATTTGGAAAGAAAGGCTATTAAATAGATAAACAGAGCCTGCATACAGAGAGATTTATTAATACTACCCCAATAGCAAAGTGAAAATTCATTAGACAGAAACCAACAATGATCAATAAAGCCAACATTAAAATTTTAAAAAGCTATCATTTCAGAATTTTAATGTCTTTAAAGTTTAAAAAATACAATCTGTTACCACCATTCTACACAGACAATGCATTTAACAGTTTATAAGCAATTTTACACTTCATTATTTGACTGTTATTAAAGGTATTATTCTAACCCATCCCATGGCCCCAATGTACAGACAACTGGGAATCTACAGAACCTTGAGTTATATATCAAATCATTTATCTCCATAAGCCTTTTTCTACTATCTCACATCACCTATTGATTTTCATATAGTTCACCAAAAGCAGTCACATTTCTTATCTATAGATATCGAAGAACTCATCCTGGAAACCTATGACCACTTTTGTATCTCATCCTAACAGGAAGGCAGAAGAGGGACTCAGTCCCTTTCTACTGACAACTCAGTTAAGACCCATCATGTATCAAACCGAACCTACAGCTATCCAGTCAATTCTGACTCATGGAGACCCTTCCAGGTTCTAACGCTGTCAATCTTTACAGGAGGAGGCTGCCCATTTTCTCCCTGGAGCTGTTGGCAGATTCAAACTTGCCAACCTTTCAGAAAGTAGCCCCAATCCATTACACACTATGCCACCAGGAATCCTCAATGGATCAGCAGTGGAAAAAGTTAATAAATACTAAAACTGAGATAATATAAAAAATTCACAAAAGCCTGAAAACTAACATGAAGAGCTGCTAAAGAAACTAAGGTTGATTCCTCTAAAAGGGAGAAGAGCAGAGGGAGTACCACAGACATGCACACATGAAATCTGTCATTAAATGTGTGAAGGTCTATCACAGAAAGGGAGAGTTGGGCTATATGATCAGTGCAACATAATATTGATTTAGCAAACATTTATTGTTAACCTAATGTTTCAATCTACCAGCTGCTCTGAGGAAGAAAGATGAGCGGTCAACTCCAGTGTGATTTACTGCCTCTGAAAACCTGCTGGAGGGTCAGCTGTGCATTGGTTCCAACTTGACGGTGCTTGACAACAACACCTCTCTGCGCTACATGCGTGTACCAACCTAAGGATACATAGGTGAATAAGACAAAGCCTCAAGAAGTCAGACCAGCAGAGGAGACCAAAAAAAAAAGTAACACAAGATGGAAAAATGAGTCACCAAGCTATAGGAACATAGAGGATGGCAACGATCCCTCTTCAGGGGAGGGGGTTTGTAAAGAAAAAGTCACTGAATAAATAAGAGTTTCAGAAGTAGACAAGATGGCAAATGGCATTAACAGGCAGAAAGAACAGCATGCACAAAAACATGGAAACATGAAGCAGTGGATGGGAGGAACATAAGGTACATATTAGGGGTGCCAAGAGATGAGGCTTCAAATAAGGAGTGGTAAAAACATAAATGGCCTCACAAGCTTCACACACACACACACACACAAATTCGATTCTAACACTCAAGCAATGTAAAACTAAAAAAAAAAAATTTAAACAGCAACATGATCAGGGAGGAAAAAAGTATTTAAGAAAGTCCATTCTGGCAAGAGAGCTGACTTCTAAAAACCAGCAGTGGAAACAAAGAGATTAGCTACCCAGCTGCTGTTATTAGTTCAGGTGAGGACAGAGATGAAAATTCAAGAAATATCGTTAAGAGGTTGAAAGCAAACAGAACTACTGCCAATGGGAATAATATAAAAATGAAGATCCAGGATGACCTGTTCATGGGCAGTAACTGGATGGTGATGTCCAATGCAGGTAACACAGGCAAAGAAGGCCAAGCATTTATCTCAACAAAGTGAGAGCCAGGATTAATTTGTTCTTATTTGGAAAAAGGAAATTGAATGTATGGGAGAAAAAGAGCAAAGATGAGTTTTTAGACTCACATAATGTAAATCTGTTCAGTGAGGCTACTCAACAGCATATGAATTAAGTCTGGTCTAGGTGAGCCATTAGCTACAGGTATAACTGAAAACAAGGAGAGTGCATACAAAACAAGAAAACTTTGTATATGCTGTTTAATGAGTTGTTGTTGTTGTAATGTGCTGTCAAGTCACCTGCGACTCACAGCAACCGTATGAACAATGGCCCTAAACCCTGCTCTATCCCTTGCCAATCTTACTGTCTCCGACACATCTATCCCCACTACCCCAGTGACTGAATCAATCCATCTCATCGAGGATCTTTCTCTCTTGCACTGTCCCTCCATCCTCCCAAGTATGACATCCCTCCAAGGACTGATCCCACCTTGCAACAAAAAACCTGAACTGATCAGGGAACTAAGTAATGAATCAAGAGATAAGAAGTTACTTTTTTTCTTTTTTAAGAAAAGGTAAGAAAAAAATTTCATGAATAGGGTAAAAAAAATCACAGTTGAAATAAACGTACTGCATAAAACAAAATTTCTAACAGAAATTACTCAAAACTAGAACTGACTGCCATGTAAGGTAATGGAAGTTTTATTCATTATCATGTAAAAGATTCAGACAGAAGCTACAAAGACAATCTATGAAGAATGTTTAGGAAATGCTTCTTTACCTAACTGTGAAGTACACTAACATCTCTGCAGTGCCTCTGAAGTCTAAATTATGGCTGGCCTTAAACCCATTTGAAAAAAAAAAAAAATTTAAAAACCACTTTATCAAATCCCTTTTCCCAACCTAACCAATGAATGATTTGTTTGATTTCTCTAAGTTGGGGGAGGGGTTTCTACATATCTCACGTAATTTATAAGCAACCAATAAAGCCGACTGCCACAGAGCTGCAATCCACTATGAGTCAAAACTGACTCAAGTAACAGTGTTTCATTTTGGGGGGGGGGGGTCAGGGGTAATTTTCACTTTATCAGCACAATTTCAAACTCAAATGATTTAATGTTGAAATAATAATTTAACACTGATTTCCAAGTGACTGCTTACATTGTTTTATTAGCTTAATAAAATTATTAGCACTTATAAAACTACTACCAAAACATCAAAAAGAAAGTCCACCTATTACTTAAAATACATAATATGAAAAAACTACCAATTTTACACACAGAATATTAATTAAGAGAAAGAAAGAACTTATGCCCCAAGAGAATTACATTTCTCTTGCCCATCCCCATGAAAAAGGGGTGAGATAGGTTCCCTACACCTCAGGGCTGAAAGGTATATTCAAAACCATGTGCAGGTTAAATGAACAAGTGGGAATCAAGACATTACAGGGATGCTATTTTGATACTAAGATACTGTTATTTATCTACTTGGACACTACTCATATTAGGTTTAAAGTTTTCTTTGGGTACTACTCACATTAGGTTGAAAGTTTTCTTTAATACTGCCCAAAGCCATACTGATCAAAGCAAAGTTTATTAGCCAAGTTACACTGCAGTGTGATTTTAAATATTATTTTATATTAAGTCAAGGGGGGAGAACTGTTTAGTGATTACAAGCTGACACTGGGCCTGATCAGGGGATTTTCAAATATAAAAATTTCACATCTCCGGTAAGGAAAGAAAATCTGTCAAAGGTTTATGATATGCCTCCATGCTCAAACAATATCAGATGACACACTCACTAGCCCTTCGACTATACCTATCCACTGCTACAGAACCCGTTCCCACTCATAGTGATAGGACAGAGCAGCACTTTCCCACAAGGTGTCAATGGCTATGAGTCTTTAAGGAAATAAAGAATGTCAAAGCTTCCTACAGTGCAGGTGGGTTTGAACCGCTGAACTTTTGATTAGTGTAGAGCACTTAATGACTGTGCCACCAAAATCCCTTCCCGCAACTATACAGTAAGAACTTTACTATCAGGTTTGCGATTTCAGTAACCGCATTAAAAATCAGCAAACAAAAAAAAGTGTTTCAAAGTAAATACACACATTTACTATGTTACTTGAAAACAACCTGCAAGTACTTAAAATCCGGTGTTTAGAAGTGGTTGGAAGGCTTTGAAACACAGTTGTAATTCCCAGGAAACAAACATTTTATAACGGAAACACTGTAGATAGAATCATTTGGAGCCATTCTCCAAGGTGTTCTCATCTTTAAATCAACACCACAGGTTGTGAGGGGGTAACTGTGTCCCTCTGCTTCCGCACACATGGGGATCCAATGCCTGCACGGGTGTCCCTCAAGATCTGCCAGCGCTCCCAGGGACTTCAGCTAGGAAATCCCTGGCCAGAAAATGCGGAGTTCAGCCCCCTCCCCCTTCCTTTCCAGAAAATTAATGAATTGGCCATACGATTGTTTATTTAATGAGGTGTGTAGTGGCCTCTACTGGTGCTAGTGTGAGCACAAGAATGTCCCACTCTTACAAGTGGGATGAGCATGGGGGAGGGGAGGGGAGAAAGACTAGGGGTGAACCTGCCCCCGGGTACAAAGCACTGAACTCGACCCCGGACCCTGGGACGCGCCCCCGCAACCGCGGCCGCCCCTCCCCCCGGCGGCGCCCCCTCCTGCTTATTTCACTCTCCACCATCCTCGACCCTCTTTCTCTCCGGCTACCACGACCCGACCGAAGCAGCGAAGTTCCTGCACGTTTCCTCCGGGATCCTAAACAAAAACGCCGCAGGCAGTGCCGCACCCCTGCCCCCACCCCGCACCCCGGCCGGCGCCCCCCGCGGGCCGCCGCTTACCTGGGGACTGCAGCGGGGAGCCACTCCTGGCAGCCGCGGCGCCCGGCTCCCGGCGCCCGAGCAGTAGCAAGCAGCAGAGCCAGAAGGAGGAGGTGCTGAGGAGTCGCTGGGCTCTCCGCTCCGCCGCCATCTCTTCCCCCGCGAGCGAGCGGCAGCGGCGGCGACAGCGCCGCGAGCCCTCGCCTCCTCCGCTCCCGCGCGCCTCAGCCGGTCCCTCGCTGCAGGCTCGGCTCCCGCGGCCGCTGCGGCCGCCGCCGCTGCCACTGCTCCGGCCCGGCCCGCACGACCCCTCTCGCAGGAGAGGAGACTTGGGGGCGCCTCCCTCCTGCAGGGGGGCGGGAAGGGGAGGAGAGCAAAAAAAGGGGAGTCAGTACATTCCGGGGCGGGAGGTGGGGGGTCGGTCTCCAGGTTCCAGGCGCCGCCACCCGCCGCCGACTCTGCCTCCACACACCAGTGCGAAGGGGGCGGAGAGCCGTGATCTACGGGGAAGGGGGGCGGGGGCCGGGGCGCACACTCACACACACGCGCGCACGCGCAGGCGCGCGCCTCCCTCGCCCGCACTCTGGGCTCCGCGCGCGGCACGCCCCCGCTCCAATCCCGGCTGCCGCCTCGCGGGCCGCAGCTGCTGGCGCGAGGGCCAACGTCGGGCCCGCTCCACTCCCCTCCCTCCCTGGAGCCGCGGACGGGTGCGTGGCGCGCGCCGGGCACTATTGCTGGCGTCAGGGAAACCCCGGAGAAGGGACTCAGCCTTCTCCTCCCGCCCTCTCGCCGCAGCAGCTCCTCGTCCCCACCTCGGCTTCCTCGCCCGGGGAAAAAAAATAGCCCCTTCTCACCTCCCTTGTCGCCTAGAGCTGCAGGGACCTGAGGGCAAGAGGCGATTCAGAGTCCAGGCTTGCCCTGCAGGCCCGTGCAGATCTACATCTCGATTCAGCCTGGGCCCAGGGCCTCTATATAGGGCCTCAGAGGAAACCGAATGGCCTCCGGGAGGAAACCTGGGTGCGCAGAGGGTCGGCGCGGGGATTTATGTGCTCGCCAAAAACAATAGCGATCCCGCCCGGCTCTGGCTGGGACCTGGCCCGGCCCGGTGGGAGGGCGCCGGCCGCATCGCCGCCGACCTCTCGCTTCCTGGCCGAGCCGCCCTCGCGCGTTTCCCCTGGACAGAGCCGGGGCCCATGGCCCCACTCACGCGGCTGGGACCCGGTCCAGGAAACAAGGGGCAGACAAAGGTGTCTGGCGTCCACTCTTTTCGTGCAGGGAGGTGCCAAGGCTCAACTCCATGGCTCTTTAGGGCTCGTCCTCTTGAGTGTAAAGGAAACCTTGGCAGGCACTTCACCTTTTCTTACCTGGGAGTCATATGTCTCCCAGGTAAACAACCAAGAGGAACAGGATTTGAAAACATTTGCCATCAAGAGTTGGTACCCCTGCTGCCCAAAGTTAAGGAAAGTAGTCATTTCGCTGCGGAAGAGAATGCTGATAATTTTTACAAGCTGCACCCATGGAAAATATTTTTTCTAATTTTGCATGGTTATGCAATTGGAGAGTTAGGTTTGATTATTAATGTAAGTGGACTTTTTATTCATCACTCAAATTTTATACCCTCAACCAAAATGTGCTCTTTCCCACAGAAAATGGCTGTTTCTCTGACTTCCACATCCCTCTGTGGCTTTTCTTTATTTTCTTCAGATATTTTTCTTTTATTCCAAAGTGCCAAAATAAGCAATATGAAACTTGGGTTAACGCTGAAGAGCTGGGAATCCTCACAAAACCTCTGAGCCCAATAAAAGGGTGGAATTGGGAATCCTTATCCAATTTCTGAGAAACAATTGACTCTTAAAAGAGTAAACATACACTTACTGCTTTCCACAATTCAGTGTCTTTCTGTTTTGGTTATTGTTGTTAACCAGCAAAAATATTTCCTAACTACTCCTGATTGACTTGTTAAATTAGGAATATATTACTTCCCAATTACTTCACATGTCTTTGCTTAATTAACCTGTAATAATCCATCATTATTCTGTCTTCTGAGATAATTTGGAAATTATAAATTGTCTTGCAAATGTTAATTTTTCTGAAATCTCTTCTAAATACTGAAAAAATTGTCATATTAAAACTATAAAATGTATACTATAATTTCTAAAGAAAAGCTTTCATTTATCCCCAAGCTTTAAAAAATTCATATATAAGGTGTAACTAATAAAGTATCAAGTATCATACATGAATATATGACTGTTGTGGACTAGCACTAATTTATGAAACCACTATGTGTCAAGTACTTTAAAAGTTTGAAATGCAGACCTTTCAGCAGTCCTGCAAGTTACACACTAAGCCGCTCCGGCTCCTTTTCAGAAAAGAGAATAACTTCTTCCAATTAAGTAACTGATTTAATCAAAGTGACTCTAGTAAACTACTAATAGAACACCAGGCAGAATGTTAAGAGATCCTAAGTCAGTTTGTGAGTAACATTGAAAAATAATCCAAGTATATACGTCTTTTACCTATTGTCTGTTATTGCTACTGTAAACATGAATATTTTTTAAAATCATCATTTGGTGATAGCATTCTTTCCTCTGATTAGTAAAGCATCTCTAATGAAAGTTGTCTTCTTGTTTATTTCTAACCTCTTAACATTCTTATTCTCTAAACAAGGTTTTTCCACCAGTACCTCAGCCCACACCTAAACTCCTAATCAAAACATTGTCAAGTTGTTTAATCTATTAATGTCTGAAGAATTATCATTAAGCCATTTGTGAAATTAACACTTTTTTTCATCTAAGTGAAGTTAGAACATGAGAAGCATGTTCACAGAATAAGGCACAAAGAAACTTTTAGAGCAAAGCAAACAGAGTAGCCATTGTATGCCAGTGTAAGTTATCAAAGTGCAGGCCAAATATAACTACAGCAAATATCGTGTGAAATTTATTCTAAGTGTACTTGAAGTAAAAAATTAATCAAGCTGGTGAATATACAAAACTTGGTAAAAATCTTATTCTCTCTGTGATGAAAGAATGATTCTTTGACATTAAAACGACAATATAGTTCAGTGTTAATTGGTGGAAGTCACTAGAATCTACAATTGATTTCCCTGTAGAATCTCAGTATCCAAGGTAGAAAAGAAAACCTCTCTGTATAGGGTGTATAGGAATCTATCTGAGTCGTACTGACCTCCACTGGCACCTAAAAACAACAACATCTCAAAATAGAGCATTTCCTAGTCACATCAGGAGAGAAAGAAGGGCAATCTCCTCCCAGGCGATTTATAGCTGCTGAAAACCTGCTGGAGCTTTAACTATGAGTCAGTTCTGGCTCCAGGGCAAACAACCAACAACACCTAGTCATGGCAAACTTCAGTTGTCAGTTGCCTGTGTCTTTAGAATTTTTATTTTCTTCTGCATCGGCATTAATAATTTTGTATTTGCCCTTTAGATTGCATTAGAATTTTTTTTCCTCTTTTACTCCTTCAAAAGCCACGTGTTTTAGGGAATCATTTCTGACTAAGCCTAATTAAGAGCTCTGTGTGTTCCCTAAGGACAAAGCCTGCACAATATTAATTCTGCTTGTTTCATGTTGCTTACTTGATTATCACGTATCTTTAGTTCAACAACAATCTATTAATTCAACAAATATTCTTGAAGATATCCTGTATTAGGTATTGTGCTGGGCTTTCAAAATTACTGGTTCATCCATTTTTGGCATATTTATAAAACAAAGGCCCTGCTTTTAGGGCAACACATGGTTATCTAGACAGACTAGGTTCCCAGTCTAGCAGAGAAAGAGAAACAATTTTAACAAAGAAGTGTGAAGAGTGTTATGATAAGGAAAGATAAAGAGTGTGGGAAAACAAAGTAAGAATATCTATCTAATGTGACTAAATTGTGTGTTTGAGAGGCTGGAGTATGAGGTATGAGAGAAGATCCATTGGCCTCATGGGAGCTCTGGTGGCCTGGTGGGTAAGGAATTACCAACCCAAAGGCATACAGGTCGAAGCCACTAGCCCCTTCTCAGGACGAAGTTGAGCCATCTCCTCCGTGTGATTTACTGGCTCTGGTCAGTGATGAGCCCTTTCAGACTTGATGGCATATAACAACATTGGTCTCTAAACTGAGACCTAAAACTGGTTAAGAGTTAGCCACACCTGCAGTGAGACCTGACATCCGATTTGCATTTTAAAAGGATCACACTGGCTGCTTCCTAGAGTTTGGATAGGTGATTGTTGTCAGCTTCTAACTTGTGGCAACCATGTGTGCAAAATAGAACTATGGGGTTCAAGGCTGTAATCTGAAAGCAGGGCTCCAGGCCTGTCTTCCAAGGTGCTTCTGGGTGAGTTTGAATGACCCAGCTTTCAGCTAGTAGTTAAACACTGAAACGTTCATGCTACCCAGGCGTCTCTGAGGGTTAGGTTGGAAGGAGTCAAAACTATGTTCAAAACAAGTTCTGATTTTGTTACATAAACCTGGGAAGGAGATGGTGGTGACCTGTAGGAAAGCAGATTAAGAGCAGTGAACAGATAAGAGAGAGAAACAACAAGGGTGTGTGGGAGAGAGGAGGTGGGAATGACTCAGGTTTCAGCCTTGACAGCAGAATGAAGGTGACAACATTTACTGATTGGGGAACAAGGAGGAAAAGCAGATGGGAGGGAGGCAATGTGAAGAGGTTCCTTTAGATAGGTTGAGTTTTGAAATACCTTTAAGAAATTTTGGCCCATCTCCTCCTATGCATATAGCTGCCTCTGTAAACCTGTCAAGGCTCAGCTAAGGGTTGGTTTCCAACTTGTGGTACACAACAACATAGGCTTTTTAAAGAGCCCTGCTGATGTACCATGTTGGGCTGCTAACCAAAAGGTCAGCAGTTCAAATTCACCAACCACTCTGAGGGGAAAGGATGTGCACTCTCCTTAAAGATTTACAGCCTCAGATACTATGAGTTGTACTTGAATGGATGACAGAGGGTTTGTTTCTAGGATACCGAGCAGCCTTAGTGTTGCTGTGATTAAAAAACGTGGCTGCTAACCAAAAGGTCAGTAATTCAAACCCCACCAGCTTCTCTGTAGGAGAAAGATACAGCAGTCTTCTTTATAGTCTTGGTAACTCTGTGGAGAAGTTCTATTCTGTCTCAGAAGGCCACTGTGAATTAGATCTGGTGGTTTTCATCACAGGACATGTGCGCAGGAATAACCAATAAGTTGCTATAAGTTAGGAAGATTTGGAGTGGGCAAATTCATCATCAACACATATCATAATATGCCTGAATATAAAATGCCTCTGATTATAGGGTAGA